GAAGCGGGCTTTCCCCGCCGACCCCTCGGCCCCTCTTCACTCCGTGAGGAGGCGCGCACGTTCGGGCCGAAAAGCCAAAGAGGGGGCAGTGGCAGGATGGCGGGACCCTGTGCGGCTCCCCCTCTTCTCTAAGAGGAGAGCTGGGGCGGTCGGGGTCTGCCCTGCCGCGTGCTTCTCATCACCGCAAACCTGTTGTGCACCCCGCACCCAGGAAGGGGCTCCGAGGCCGGAGGCGGCGGGCCGGGCTACTAAGACTCGTTAAGTGGGGAAAGGGAGAGGGAGGCCGAGGAACTGCTAGAATGTGCTGAAGCCGGTAAGGTAGCTAATCCGGGTGGGCCTGGTCAGGGTGGGCTCCCTGGAGGAGGCGGTGCTTGAGGTGGGAGGAAGACCTTCACGGCGAAAGGCACCGAGGAACAAAGGCATCGACGCTAGAAACGCCGTGATGTGTATGAAGAGACACCTAGTTCAGAGTTGCTGCAGCACCAAATGCGTAGCAAGGAGTGGTGGGCAAGACTCGAGGAAGAGGTCTGAGCACTCGAATTTTATCTTGGAGGCATTGGGATTCCTTTAAAGGATTTTCACCAAGGAATATTCTGGTCAGATTTGAGCTTAGATCAATCACCGTGGCGATAGAGAGGAAAATGGAATTGACAGGGATAAGATTGAAGGTAGGAGACAAGTTAGGAGTCTGTGATTAATCCAGGCAAAAGAAAGTTGATGCTCTAAAGTCTAAACTCTACAGTTAGTTATAGTGAGAATAGAGAGGAGAGGTAGATTTGAAGACTATTCAAAAGGTAAAATCAGCAGGACACTGTTGCTGGGCCAGAGTAAAGGAGAGGAAGAATCAAGAATTATTCCAGCTCGGCTGGTGCGGCTCAGTGGTTGAGCATGGATTTTTGAACCAGGAGGTCATGGTTCCATTCCTGGTCAGGCAGAGGCCCAGGTTTCAGGCTTGATCCCCAGTGGGGGCGTGCAGGAAGCAGCCGATTGATCATTCTCTCTCATCATTGATGTTTCTATCTCCTTCTCCCTTCCTCTCTGAAATCAATTTAAAAAAAATTTTTAAAGGACAATTCCAGGTTTCTAGCCTAAATGACAGTGAATGCTGATGCTACTGCCTGAGATTGATGCAGTGGGGGGACAGGTCAGAAGGAACAAAAGCAAAAGCTGAGCTTGAGGTACCTGTGAAACGAAGGTAGAAATAAATAGTTGGATACTGGAGTCTGAAGCTGGAGAAAACATCTGGATTAAAGATAAAGATTTGGAAGTCCATCAGCATGTGGAAGCTAATCAAAACCAGGACCATATCATGTCCTCTAGGGAGGGAGCACCCCATTAAACGAGTTGTGAGCTGAGGGCAGAAAGTGTCAGCAGTGAAAAGAGAACTCAGCTGGTGTCATCAAATCTTTTGTGCTAAAGTGAGTGGAGCCCAAGCATTCTCTGCTCTGGGCAATTGCTAGTCCCTGCTTACCAGTGTGACTTTGTCTTTATTTTTGCTTGTCAGGAAAATTGGGCAAATGTACTAAAAAAGAAAGTAGTCACATAATTTTCTTTTGAGGGAAGGGGGACTGCGCTTGGCATCAACTTCCCCCTCAAAGACCTAATTCTTTGCTTTTAGTATGTGGAGAACAACAAGAATGCAGACACTGATTGGTTCCGACTGGAGTCCAACAAGGAAGGGACTCGGTAGGCAGACCCTCTTGGGGGGTATCGGGATGGGAATCGTTCGTGGTTTTAGCATTTTCGTATCTCAAAGCTCACTGCCAGGCCATCCCTGCTTCATATTGGCTGTGTCCACTCCCACAGCTCCAGAGTTTCCCAATTCCTATCCCATGAGTCTCCCAGGCTAGTCACCTAAGCCAAGAAGATGTCACTTGAGCCCTAACCGGTTTGGCTCAGTGGATAGAGAGTCAGCCTGTGGACTGAAGGGTCCCAGGTTCGATTCCAGTCAAGGGCATGTACCTTGGTTGCAGGCACATCCCCAGTAGGGAGTGTACAGGAGGCAGCTGATCAATGTTTCTCTCTCATAGATGTTTCTAACTCTCTATCCCTCTCCCTTCCTCTCTGTAAAAAATCAATAAAATATATATTTTTAAAAAATGTCACTTGAGTATGAGAAGAATGGTCAAATTAGACTGAGGTTTGGTCTTCGTTATAGGTGGTTTGGAAAATGCTGGTACATCCATGATCTCCTCAAATATGAGTTTGACATCGAGTTTGACGTGAGTATGATGGTGTGGGAAATATGGAGGTTAACAAGCTAACATTTCTTGAAAGGACCAAAGAAATTTTCCAATGGGAGGCAAAAACTGAGATTTGAAGCAAGCGTAGATTAGTTACTAATCTCTAAGTCTAGAATTCTGGTTTGCACATGCTGCTTGGGGAGTTTGCCAAACATTTCAGTTCAACTGAGAAATGTATGTCAGGTTACATTAGTTCCTTTATATCCTGATTCTCTTTTATTAAGGTTTTATAATTCCTCCAGATTCCTATCACATATCCTACTACTGCTCCAGAAATTGCAGTCCCTGAGCTGGATGGAAAAACAGCCAAGATGTACAGGTAGGACTGAATAGGAGATGGGAAAGGGTCAAAACGGGCTTAGGGAAGAACTTGGGGAGGCAGGAATTTTCCCAGAGGCCTGCTGGCCTCGAGGGGCTCTAGGCCTCCCTCTGCCAAGCCTGGGCGCTGCACTTAGCTGACCTCGTTCTCAGTTTGGATCACTGGCAGCCTTGTGCTCCCAAGAGGCTGCTGTGTTCCACGATAACCTTGCATGTCAACACCTTCTTCCCGCTTATCCCTCTCATAGGGGCGGCAAAATATGTCTGACTGATCACTTTAAGCCTTTGTGGGCCAGGAACGTGCCCAAGTTTGGACTAGCTCATCTTATGGCTTTGGGGGTAAGTTTGGGTTATTTGCTTCTCCCTCTCCTGCCCCTCCCCCCTCTCAAAAATCAATAGAAATATTAAAAAAGAGAAGTAACAGAATAAACAAGGAATAACTGTTTTCCCTTGGGTGTGCTCCCCTGGTATCTCTCTGGGAAGGAGCTTCTGATAGAACAAGATGCATTGCCTTGGCTGTAGTAACCTTCCAGGTCTCCCTTGTATTACAGCTGGGCCCATGGCTGGCAGTGGAAATCCCCGATCTGATTCAGAAAGGCGTTATTCAGCATAAAGAGAAATCATCTGAAGGATCAAGCCACTGAGGCTGGACAGGGGACCTTTGAGAGGCTACGTTCCTTTTTCCTGTGTGTCCCTTACTCATCT